CAAACTTCGCGAGAGCGTAGAATGAATTGAGCTAGGACTGAAGTGAGCAAGAAAGTCCCATTTTGCGACACTTACAATAGTTTTTAAGAAATTTTAGAAAATCGAATGGAAAAAGAGAGAAGTGTTCGAGTCATTAAAATCGCTCGAACAGTAGTGCGATTTAGTTGGTCAAGAAACGGATGACGACGCGCGGTAAAAGGAAAGACAAGCGCCGTTGCTCATGCTTGCATCGTCGCTCTTACGTCTCGTCAGACAGCCAAAGTTCGTATCACGAGCTTTCTATCATTTCCTCTCTTTCTACTTTTTTTAATCACAGAATCTTATTACAGTTTTAATGTAAGCTGTTTTTGTCATATCATAAAATGATCTTCTAAACATAATCGCGAGCGAGCAATGCGATCGATGCGAGCTTTGGCGCACCGCGCTGAGACGTAAAAGTAATGATGCAAGCCCGGACAGCGGCGCTAGTCTTTCCTCTTACCGCCCTCTGCCATCCGTTTTTTGACCAATTGAATCGCGTTAAATCTTGAACGATTTCAGCTCAAGTGCTACTCCCTTTTTCTAAAATTAATTTCTCAAAATTTGCAAATATCATAAAACACCATGGGACTTTCTTACTTATCTCAATTCGTTCTACTCGCAAAGATTGAGAATGATGATACAGAACATCCTGTATACATACACGTATGCATATACGTACACAAGGTGTCCCATTTTAAGGTTTCCACTAGAATATCTCTTCAGGGAAGCATTTAAAAAACATGTTTTAAACAAAAGTTATAGAATTCACACTCAATGATGACTTTAAACCTAGGATCAAATTCAGTCAAACTGAACAAAAAAGTCCTCTACCATTTTGCAAATGACCACATATATTTTTAAATATTAAAGAAAATATTAAATTGTTACATATATGATTATATACCATAATGCACAAATTTTCTTTAATTAATATCTAAAAATCTATGTGATCATTTACAAAATGATAAAGGACTTTTTTGTTCAGTTTGACTTAATATATAAGTATACAACGGCAGACGGTGCCACTGCAGTTCATCTACCATATTACGCGTGATTATTCACCAATCTTTTTTAATTAATATCTTGACTATTATTGCGAATATCGCAACACGGCACACGACTTTCTTGTTCACCTCAATCCGTTCTACATTCTCACAAAGGATCATCATGGAGATCTGAGACATCTTGTATATATCAGGACTTTAAATAAGTTCTCGCTAATTTTTCGTGAAAATTAATGCTTTATTTAAAAAAAAGTCGTAAAAAACATGTTACTGAAAGTATTGTCCATCGCTACTTTTTCCCGTCTTTCTGGCAGCATTTGAATTCCACGTCGGAAAAATGACATCGACTCTTATGAGACTATTCAAGAGTCGACCCATTTTTTGACATCTTCATAAGAATGGAAGTGCTGGCTCAGCCAGGCTATGTGCCATCGATCGGAACAAGTGATAATCGGAAGGGGCAATGTCTGGTGAATACGGCAGGTGGGGTACGACTTCCCATTTAAGCGTTTCCAAATAGGTTTTCACCGGTTGTGCAACATGTGGCCGAGCGTCATGTTGCAAAATCACTTTGTCGTGTCTCTGCTCGTACAGCGGCCGTTTTTCCTTCAATGCTCGGCTCAAACGCATCAATTGTAGTCGATAGCAATCTCCCGTGATGGTTTCGTTCGGTTTGAGTAGCTCATAATAAACTACACCCAACTGATCCCACCAAATGCAGAGCAGAAGCTTCGAACCATGGATATTCGGCTTTGCCGACGATGTTGATGCATGGCCGGGCTTACTCCACGATCTTCTACGTTTAGGGTTATCGTAGTATATTCATTATTCGTCGCCAGTCACAATATAATGCAAAAAACTTTTCCTTTTCTGCCATTAAAGCAGCTGTTCACACGTGAAAAGACGCCGTTCGACGTCTCTCGACTTCAACTCGTACGGCACCCAATATCCTTGCTTTTGAATCATTCCTAATATTTTCAAACGTTTCGAAACTGTTGTGTGATCAACTCCTAATGATTTTGCAAGTTCAGTTAGCGTCTGATACGAGTCTTCATGAAGTAATGCCTCCAATTCTTCATCTTCAAACTTTTTCGGTGCGCCAGAGCGTTCTTTATCTTCAACATCAAAATCATTATTTTTGAAGCGTCTAAACCAATCTCTGCATGTTTATTGTTATTTAATCTGTTGAACTGTTTTGTTGTTATTAAAATTCGTTAAATATGTCATCATTTCGACTCTTAACATAACTTTAAAGTTTCTATTTAAAAAATTCGATTTGACCTTCAAATGAAGGTCAAGATCAAGGTGAAATTGAAGGTCACCACCCGATGTCCCCTTCCGAACCCAACAACTTTTGTAAGGGTTATTTGGATTGGTGGCTCCCCGACAAGATATATATTCAGGTGCGTAATTTCAAATATTTTGTCCTTGAAATAACCTCTGAAGGCCATTCCAAAGAAGAGCCTCAAGTATCCATCTAAACGTAAAATTTTGCGCTCTTTCCGAATCCGGGCTCAAAAATAGGGGTTTCTATTTAAAAATTCAATTTGACTTTCAAATGACCTTGAAAGTCAAGGTCAAGGTGAAATTGAAAATCACCATCCGATGTTTCTCTCCGAACCCAACAACTTTTGTAAGGGTTATTTTCGGATTGGTGGCTCCCCTGACGAGATATTCAGGTGCATAATTTAAAATGGGATACCCTGTATATGTGTATGTATATATACAAGTCCCACAACTGGTAGAACACCTAAAGGGTAAGTAGGGGGTGAAATTTGGAACTGAAAGTTCCTCTTCCATTTTTAGATTCGATAATTAGTTAATGAGATATTAATTAATTACGTCTGCCAATCTCTTAGCGCCCCATGTGAGCGTTCAGGGTCGTAGGGCGCCGTGGACTCCTCAAGGGCCCTGCTTGCTCATTTTTCTCCCCTCTTCTGTACCACAGAGGAATAAATATGGATGAGTGAGTAAGTGGATGTGTGGATAGCTGCTTCGGAGCTAGGGAATAGCAAGTTTTTAATGTATGGAAGTGATGTATGGGTGTTTTTGTGTTACGAGTGCATGGATAATTTGAATGTTTTTAATGCGAGTGGACGGAGTGATTGCACTTTATTTGCACTTTACCCCCCCGAGGGGGTAGGGCATGTGTGATATGTTTCCTTCGAGTGCGTGGGTGACTTGAATGTTTTCTACATGTCGATGGTTGAGTGCACGTCTGTGAAAAAACACACAGACAAGCAAGGCCCTTGAGGAGCCCACGTCCCTGAGCGCTCACTCAAGGCGCTAAGGGATTGGCAGATTTAATTAATTAATATCTGGTTAACTAATTATCGGATCCAAAAATAGAAGAACTTTCCAAATTTCAGTTCCAAATTACACGCCCTACCTACCCCTAACGATTCTACCATTTGTGGGACACCCTGTATATTACAAAATATTGAACAATCCCTATATACGCATACACAGATGATCAAACCTGCAGAAGCAAATTTTTCGTAATAACTATTGCAACTTTTGTCAACACTTTGGTAGAAATACAAGATTTGCTAACAGAGTATAGAACGGGAAAAAACGAGCAAAATGTCGTTCTGTAATCATTTGAATACATTTAAATAAAAACATACTACGAATTCTGCTGGGTTTCTATCGCTAATTTGCTGTCAAGTTATGTCAGATTTCGTTGACAAAATATGAATTTAACCCGTTAAGTCACGAATTTTTCTGCACAATTCTTTCCTTTATTCAATTGATATCTGGGGTTTTTAGGGTCACTAATTACGAATTTGAAGTCAGTTTTTGAAAATTCAAGATAACAGATGCAATATGGCAGACGACAATTTTAAAACTACTTCGATTTCCGTGAAAATTAGTATCCAAAAGTTTTTGGCATCGTTGATTACAAATTCAAATTCGACTTTTTTGAAATTCAAGCTATACACAGACTCAACTTCACTCATGTACGGAAAAAATATAACTTATCCCGATTTTTGGTATTTTAGCTCGCCATATTGAGTTCGCTATCTTCAATTATGAAATTTTTGAGGTTGCGTTATCATTTACAGCTCAAAAAGTATCAACCAAGCCATTTTTTCCCTAGGTTTACTTTGCAATATTTTTGGAAAATGAATAAAAAAAATACCATTTTGTTACATTAATTTGTTTATAAATAATTAAATTTGCAAAATTTAATGTTCTATGCAGATAATTCTGTTAGAGGAAAATATAAGCTTCACGATGAATCCACATTTACCGCCTCAAAGTCTCTACAAATTAGTTTAAATTTGTAAAAATTGCCCTAAAAAGATTTATCATATATGATACATTATGACTTAAGGGTTAATGCGAACATAGAAGACTACACATTTACAGAATGTGCTGGCATCCTGCTAACATTTTACTTATTTGTTTATTTGAGGGGAACTTTTCTCAGAATGTATAATAAATGAAACTTGTTCATTTTCTTATTATTGGAAATCAATTAAAATAAAATTAAATTCATATTAAATTAATTTAATGAGTTTAAGATTAAATTAAAAACAAGGTAGGCTACTTTAAAAAAATTATGAATTTATGTTATTAAGACAAAAATATTGAATAACTATATTATAACTACTATTGATATTAAATAACATTTGAATCACTCAAAATAATGTTAGTTCTTATCTTTTAATTCTTTAAATGCTAGAGAATAATATTGTTAAACTAAAATCTAAAATTATATAATTAAAATCTTTTGAAAGTTATTCGAAAGCTTGATACCATAATATTAAGATTAAGATGAAAAAACGCAATTTGAGTTCTAAAGTACACAATTATATAATTTAATATTATTATATGTCGAGTACAAAACAACTACAAGCCTGTATCTATACAAATTTTCCAACTTAATTTCAACATTTATATACTTTTGAATTTTGTCTTTTAAAACCGGAAGCACACTGCACATACTCATAAAAAATTTAATCGACATACCTTTGCATCAAATTGTCTAAAATACGCTGGATTTTTATGACATAATGTGGAACCTGTTTCCCAAAGATCATTTTCTACAGTTACAGAAGTATTTGATTTATTTTCCTTCAATTTCTTTCCTTTCTTATTATATTTTTTTTCAGTTTTTATAAATAGAGGTAATGGAAAATAATGAAAGTAACATGGTGGTGGTTGATACTTAGTATCACATAATGTTAGCAATGTATCCATTTCACATTGTAAATACATCAATGTGTCTAAACGTTCCAATACTTGTTTTCGCAGTAAGGGATCTTTTTGTGTGACGAAACCAGTGATTATCTCTCTAAACCTGTAATACATTATTCTTGCAGTTATTTACAACTTTAACGAAAGTTGATTAAAAATCAAAAGAAATTATATATATATCAGAATATTAACGCTTAGTGTAGTATGATAAAGAAGCTATTCAATTTTGCTACTTACCAATTGATACAACATATGAGAAGATCCAATACTGAAGGTTCCGGTATATCAAAATTTTGTGGCATTAATATTCCACATCCTAAAAGGGCATCTATAGCTTCCAATTCTCCATGTACATTAAGCTTCACGTAACATGTCTTAAGAAGCCGAAACAATATTGGTGCAATTGGACCACTTCTTTTATTTCCAAAAATTAACATACAGTTTTGTGGCTCCTCTTCTACATTATTCAGACCAAATTTTGGAACTAAATGTTCACTAGTATGGAAATAAAAGTTACATATTTATATTTTATTACAATCTCTCGCTTCCTTTTCTCATCATTAATTAATCAAAGATTTATAATTAATCAAGAGGACAGATATGCAGGGTTGGAAAGTAACGCGTTACTTGTAACGACGTTACTATTTCGTTACTTTTTTTTAGTAACGATTTGGTAACGCCGTTACTTTTTTGTATCAGTAACGAAAAAGTAACGGCGTTACATTTTCTTTAGTAACGAGTAACGAAATTCATCATTACTTATATCGTTACTTTTTACTATGATGGCTTCTGTACACAGAACGCGGCAACGTTTGCCACGTGATGAAAGTTTGCATATGATAAACAATTAATGTGCTGCTTTCCGTAAAGCCCATTCTACAATAAGTAATAAATCTTAAGTCATAATAAAATTGACTAATCATAGTCGACTATTAGAAGAATAATCCACTGTAATTGGTCAATTTTATTGCGACTTAAAATTTATTGCTTATTGTAGAAAGCCTCTAAATCGTGATCTACAATGAGAAATTAAGCCATAAAATTTAAGCTTTAATCTCTAAGCTGTAAGAAATTATTTTTCTTACAATTGACTGATTGGTCAAATTCTTACGGCTTAGGATTTAAAGCTTAAATTTTATGGCTTAAGTTCTCATTGTAGACCACACTTAAGGGGCGTCGCACACGAATTGACATAACAGTAACGTAAGACGTACCGTAAGAACTGACCAATCACTTTGAGTATCGTCGAACCGTAAGGTCGC